CTCCAAAAATGCATCGTTGCTAAGCGAGCCCCCGTGATTTTTGTTTGATTTCCAAAAAGTTACAACTCCGTTCTACTGCAGAGAACAAATCATTGGTACTGGAGGACGCGGCTTGTTTGTTGGAGCACTCCAAGATCCCCTTCCTGCGATCGCCACGGGTTCCATGTGAGAAAACTGTGATCTTTGAACTTTTCGATTTCCAGTTTCTGAGCGAAAAATTGAAGTGTTATGTAGCTGAGGTTAGAGAGGTAGTAAGCGGTGCTATTTTTAGGCTAAAAGTTGACGAAGGTTTGATCCTGACCAAGGCAAAATGTACATTCACCTACACATATGAAGGACTCCCTCCCCCTCCCCCCTTCCCCCACCCGTCCCTTAATTCCCCGTCTTCGCCTGTGCAACAACTTTTGTCTTAATTACCTTGGAAATCTCCTGGCTTTCACTTAGGAAGCAAGCGCCGTATGAATTACAGCTAATTTTCGAAGAGGTCAAAGTTCACGCCTCCTCCCCCTTCTTCGCCCCGCCCCCAACCCCTCCCCATTTCGGCAGTCAAGCAGGGAAATAGAGCTATACTATAGTGCTGCAACAGAAGCTAAGGCTCCTCAAGGGGGCTTCTTGCACGGGTATAACAGACAGGTTGACCGGTCGAGTCTTTGCGCATTGAGCGACGGGGACGGCGTGGAAGGTGTGGTGCGTGGGCGTCCGGTGAGTGTCCGCGGGTTTTTTCGTGGGTATTTGGGAGCTGCGGGTTGTTGGTGGCGTGCATTTTGGGCTTTTGAGAAGAGGGGGGGGGAAGGGAAATTATATTCGGGGACCTGACGGGGTGTAAATTTGAGAGTCCTAGAAGGTTCGGGGGTTTTCTTTGCATCGATATTTTAAAATGAGAAATTCGTGGCTCGTAACTACGAGTTCTCGGAATTCGGGAGGAGCACTCACGTCAGGGGTTCAAAGACCGCATGTGGAAGCTTGGAGGGCTCGGGGGTTGCGCCTGGGAGATCCAGGAGTTTCAGGAATCTGGGCTTTTGCAGTTTGAGGAAGATCTTTTGGGGGGTTCGATGGATGTGGTAGATCCAGGAGTTGAAAGCTTCTAAAGTTCGAAGGCTTGCATCGGGGAGGAGGGAGGGGGGAGGGAAGTCACCACTGTTTGGAACCAAAATTTCGGGATTTCAGAGGCTCAGGATTTGCATTTGGAGGCTCGAGAAAACGTGTGTTTGAGATCTCGGGAGATCATAGCCTCAAGAGGCCAAGGATTTGCATTCGGGGCTTTGGGAGCTCACAGATTTGTATCTGGAAGTTTCGATAATTCGTGGATTTGTACCAAAGTGATCTAGGGGATTTCGAATAATCGTTTCGACTGTGTTTTTTGTGCCCCTCCCCCGACATCTCCATATTTCTCGTTGTTTTTTGTCTCGAAACTTGCTTCTTCCACAGATTCTACGTGGCGCTACACGTGTTTCTCACTATGTTTAACTGGAAGCGTGCTCTGTTCATGTTTCCACGTGGTGCTTCACGTGTAACTCATATTTCTCGGCTCAAAATCTGCGTAACACGCCACTGTGTGTTTGACTCGAAGCATACCCTATCCATACGATTCCACGTGGCGCTACACGTGTAACTCATTTTCCTTGGCTCAAAATTTGCTATTCCACGGGTTCCACGTGGCGCCACACGTATTTCTCGCTGTGTTTGCCTCGGAACTTGCTTCTTCTTCTTTCATGGTTCTACGTGGTTGCACGTGTAATTCATTTTGCTTCACTCGAAACTTGCTTCTTCATCGGCTTCACTTGGCGACATGTATAACTCGTTTTGCTTGCCTCGAAACTTTCTCTTTTCACGATTCCACGTGGCGCCACTCGTATTTCTGATTGTGCTT